TGGAATGGATAAAGTATTTTTTTACCATTTCATTGTGGAAAAGTTAACTATTGATGCCAAGACCATCGGAGGACTATTCATGTATATTCATTACAGCAGCATTACACGATAGAGCAATGGCCGGATTTCTGAGTTTGATGATTGGACCTCATATTGGTCCATAGTGCCGTGGAAGTAAATATCCAACGAGGAGTTGCGGCAAATATAATTTAAGTTTTGTAATGAAATGCATAATAAAGCAGGTAGAAACTAGAAATATAACAGCTTCCTAGAACTTTAATAAGAAAAGCGTTCTTTAGGGCTTGCTACTATGGAGATTAGACGTTAATGAAAAGCTCGAAAATGAAGAAATTTGTGTTGGCTATCCAATAGAGGCCTAAATGCAAGTTAGGCTATAATGCTAGAGAAGGTGCGATTGAACCCGACAACTATTTGAGGATAACAATAACATCTATTGAGGTGGCATAAAGTTAGTTGGTTTCTCAAAAAAAATTTGAAACAAAAATATACATATTTTTTGTATATAAGTAGAGTTTAAAGACTGCCATATAAAGTAGGAATACTTATTACACATACATTATGTGTACTCCAAATCAATTAACTACCCCTCAAATAGTTTTGATTAACCTTGATGAAATTAGCCAAATCATTCAGGCTGGTGGTAACGTGATCTATCAGATGCTGCTTGAACATCAGACTCCAGCGTTTGATGATGTTGAGCAGCGCATGCTTGAACCGGCGCAAGACGATGCGGAACCAAGAATCAAATTTAATTGAAGCTTCTAGTTTATCAACCTGTTAAAGAGAGGAAAATAGGAATACTTATTTATTTTAGAGAAAGTCTTTTATAGTTAAAGTAAAAATTTGACGCTCTTCCTGTCTAGTTTCAGCTAAAATGTATTTACGCATGATCATTCTATAATTGTGAATAGACGAGACTATAACGCTTATTAATATTAGCTTAAAACATCTTATCTACTATAGAACATGAAATATTCCAAGTTTTATTAAATATAATAATATTACTGATTTACCGGTAGTCTCAAAACTCAACATAGATACGAGAAATAAGTAACGTAGTCGATTGTTATAGCAAATATACGTTTGCTTCATAGACAAGCCCACCAAAGAATGTGATATGGCAAAAGGCCTGGCCTTTCTTGAAATTCACATCTGCCCTGTGACCCAAAGGCCCTTGTGGCAATGTGGCAATATGGCCGAGTGGTTAACGTATCAGGCTCACATGCTGCACTGTCACGGTTTGACTTCAGCTGGGGGTGTTGATAAAACCTATGCGAGGTCAAAACTGCAGTCCATCCTGGATGACAACAACTTTTGAGAAAGCAAGGCTACGTGAAATTCAATGAAACCGTCAGCTCAACTCATATCATTGTGGGAAAATTCTATTACCAGTCCTTCATCACCTTAAACGAAATATGGTGAATACATCTCATATAATAAAAGTATTTTGCAAATACTTCTAAGCTAATACAAGAAACCAGGGTTATATTTTTGAGCTTAGATATCATTACTTTTCTTAAGTAAGGCATCACCATAAATATACATACGGCTATACTATTAAACTAGCGTCCTGTTATCAAACATACGTAAGTTGAATTTGTCCCTTTGCGCAAGCGTAAACTGTGGGAAAACCCTCACAAATCTTAGGGCTAGATTGCCTCAGGGTCCAATCTCAACCATGGAAAATTCGTAATGATATATAAATGAATTCTCGCCTTTTCGTCGGCTTGATAATTCAAGGAAAGTATCTAGATGGCTGCAAGCACGAAGATTAATTAGAAGCAATGTCATTAAAAGAAGTTGTATACTGGCGTGTGGTACTATTCGGTATAGTAGCACGAGATAGCAAATGACCTGAGAATTAATGCCTTGGGATACAGCCCAAAGCAAGAATAAATACTTGTAATCATAAAGAACCATTGTCTAAATGGTGAGTCAATTCGGTTACACACAACTCAATAGGCTCTTCCTCTCAATACTCCGCAAATATCATATGATCTTTAGTTTAAAAGTAAGTTTTCGAGTTTATCAGCAGATCAGATATAATATTTATATTCACCCTATTTCGTTTAAGATAATGAAGGAGTAGTAATTGAATTTTCCCACAAGCATATGAGTAGGTCTGGTGTTTTCATTGCTTTTAACATAGCCCTACTTTCCCAGAAGCTATTCTCCTTCAGGTTGGACTGCAGTTCCGACCTCGCCTAGATCACACCAGCAACACCAGCGGAATTCGAACCGTGATATTGCCGTGTATAGTCTCCACAAGTTAACCACACTGTCAGTAAATTCGAATTTCGAGTAAGTTTATACCTTTTTAATATCAAATTTCTGTCGTGGGATTGCGATGAAGCAAAGTCGTATTTGCTATAGCAACCGACTGCATTGTGAGGAAATTCAATTAAGAGTACTTCAGCATCTTAGATTAAAAAGGGTAAATACATCTGTTATATAAAATATTAACTGCGAATGAGAAGTTCATCCAAAAAATATTTATGAAATATGCTCGTTGTACATTTAAAGAGTAATAAAATGATGCTTAGAGTGCTTTATTCAATACCACTATTTGTAAGGTTCAGAAATAGAATGGAAAATTTCAAGTCTTATTATCTTATCAGACGAAAAGTAGGTCCCTTATGATCCCTAGACGAAGCACCAGAGCAAATCTTGAAAATGTATTCCGTATCACTTCCCAGTCAACAGATAAATGCTTCTATTCTTGTAGCTGCTTGTCGCATGTTAGCGATCTTTGAAGGTTATTGTCTGTTTGGGTGGCATAATACATAACATATATAACTTGTGATCACCCAATTTCGTTTAGGGTAATGAAACTGGTAGTTGAATTTTCCCACAATGATATGAGCAGAGCTGACGTTTTCATTGAATTTCATATAGCCTTGCTTATCTAAAAGGTGTTCTCATCCCGGGTGGACTGCAGCTTCGACCTCACCTAAGTCTGATCAACTCACCAAGTGGGAGTCGAACCATGACAATGCAGCGTGCAATCTCGACACGTCAACCAATACGCCACATTGCCACGAGTGCCCTTGGGCCACAGAACAGACTAGAATTTCAACGAAGGCCAGGCATATTCCCAAATCACTTTCTATGTTGGAATTATTGATGAAGCAAATTTATAATTGGTATTGAAATCGACGACATTACTTTTTTGGTTTTTGAGTAGCTTTTCGAGACTAGCCGCAAATCAGTTTGGGGTGTTGATGAAACCAAGGCGAGGTTGAAAATGCAGTCCACTCTGGATGAGAACGCCTTTTTGGAAAGAAATGCTATGTGAAATTTGGTGAAAACGTTACCTCTAATCATATCATTGTGGGAAAATTCAACTACCAGTCCTTCATTAGCTTAAACGAAATTGGGTCAACACAATTCCTGCATGTGATTTACTCGTAGTCTCAAAAACCTAATCAAAAACGAAAAAAAGAATACATAACAATTTGTAAAATTGAGGGCTTTTAAAAAGCACTTCCACATCCTTTGTCCCCAAGTTCGAGCTCGCAATGACTTCAATTGTCTCAAGAAAACCTCAATTCATTAACCACAATGAAGTTTGTTAGAATCAATGATTTCGCCTGAAAATATGTTCGCTGATATACAGCTTGGAAAAGTGCAGTAATATTCACATAAATGATGTATAAAGTAAATAAAATATAATTGCCCTTCGTCCCTTTCATCTGTTTATTACACATCAATTGAATTATCAAAAACAAGAAGTTACGAATGCAAATTGATTCGATTCTGCTATCTGATTGAGAGATTCGTATAGCTTAGATGTTTGCCTATCTCAAAATTTAATTCTGTATACCCTCAAGACTCACCTCTTCAAAGATTCTCTCGTAGTTGTCGATCTGTTCCTTGAACTGTTTCAGTGTGGGTGGGTGCGGCACCAAGCCTTCAGCTGCTTCTCCCTCGCCATTGGCCATACCAGAAGTAACTAATGTAGAACCTTGAACTGGGCCAGACAACTGAAGAGTTTCTAGTTCGTCAACTGAGAGTACACGACCGTAAATAAGGAAATGGCGCATAAACTCTGCCCGATCATCAACCCACAGGTAGGCATAGACGTCGAAAGTAGCTTGATAGGCAAGGGCCTTCTGAATGACGGACTGCGTCCGATCAAGAAGGGTCTGGCGCATCTCGTTCAATACATCCACTTCTTCCATTTTTGCCTTTATTCAAGTCGAATAGTGAAGATAGTTCAGCAGATGAGAGTTGAAGTATCGAGATGTAAACATAAATAAATATATAAAAATGATGTAGGAAAGGAAATTACCAAAATTACGATTTAAGGCAGCGGACTTGAATTTGTTTACAAAGTCATTAGAATACAATTAATTAACAATGGATTTTGGTATACAGATCGAAAACAAGATTTAATCGTAAGTTGCAAGTTAAAGAGCTTAAGTAGTTGGTCCTAATTGGGTAGTATCTTAATTGTTAAAATTCTGTCTAGTTTAGATGCAGTATAATAGTCAAAATTAAAATTGTATTAACTTGATATGACTCTTCTGTCGCGTTAGCGTCAATGCGAGGAATCAAGGATGCCTGTTTGTAGATATCCACAATGAGTCCGTCGACCAATTCGTAGAAACCATTTGTTGTTCCATACACAAGTGAAGGGATAAATATTACTTCCGGGGTCTAAATAAAGCAATAAATAGATGATAATATGATATAACTAAAAAAACTGTAGGTAAAAAAATGTATAATGAATGTAATTGGTAAGGAAATCTAGAGATATCGAATTTTTCGGCTTAGAATCCGGTATATATATATATATATAGCGCAGATAACAATGTGAAATAATGTGAGGTGGATTCACCCCATTTCGTTTAAGGTGATAAGGATTCCCACAATACTATGGAATGACCTTTAGTTTCCATTGAATTTCCTATAGCCTTACTTCACAAAAGTTTTTTTTCATCGAGTCGGAGTGGACGACAGTTTCAATCTTGCCTGAATCAGTCTCATCAGATCCCCAGCAAGAGTTAAGCCCGGGTTGTGGTAGCGCTGCGTGTAATCTCGACACGTCAACCCTTACACGACTTACCCCCGAATGACCTTGAGTTGCATTGCAAATGTGAATTTCAAGGAAGCCTGGTCTTTCTTATTTCACATTTCTGTGGTGCGATTTTCGATGATGCGAAATTTTATTTGCCATAGCAATTGACTACATTACATATTTTTCGTTTTATAAGTAGGATTTCGAGTCTACCAATATATCATATATATGAAGTATATTCACCCTATTTCATTCAAGGTGATAAAGAGATTAGTAGTTATCATCTTAAAGAAAATACGGTAAATAAACCAAATATATATGATATGCTCTTAGTCTCAAAAACCCATGTATAAATCATAAAATAAGTACCGTAGTATGAAATACTGTTTGTATTGAACTCTCACTCAGACCTTTGGAATCGTTTAAATAAAGGAAACATTGTTAGGATATGTTGGGTGAAGCATTAAATCCCTAAATATGGAAACAGAAAGCCTTTTAATCGGCAACTCTGATAAAACGTAAATTGTGGAGTACGATTTAGGTTGCTCATCTCGGATCACAATATAAAAAAGTTATGCTAATATATGAGCCCAATGCCAATCCACTTTAAATTACGCTTCCGATTATCAATGCCAACTAAATAGTTGTATCTGATAAAGTTCAAATAAAATTTCATAACTGGCACAGATCATCTCTCCCTTATGGCCTACCTGCAGCTCCATTTGTGCTTCAAAAAGTGCCATCGTGGTTTGCTTATCTTCAGTTTCTGCCAGTATATATTTTAGTGAGCATTCGAGAGTGCACCTGAGGCCTTCTTCCACAAGATGATCTACATAATTCACATACCTCTTCCAGGCGTCAGATTCGACGTCAGCTTTGAAAAGCTTTCTGTTTTCCTAGACAAAAAAGAAATGTTCCCATTTTATTTTAATTACATATACATATAAAAGTAAAAGTAAAGTAAATAGGCTCAATTAAAGCTAAGTTTTGAGTGAGACACAAAGCCTAATCTAACTTATTTTTCTATACAACTGAAAAATAATGAGCCTGTATACACCAAACAAATATTTATATAAGTAGTGAGTATCATTCGAGATTATCAGTAGAGCTTGATTCAGAACTTTAGCCACCTTAGCTAATAGAAGATCATTTTAGACTGATTGGCGAATATTCCAACGATAAAAGAGACATAACTCACGATTCCATTGTGTTTCATATGGTCTTGCTTCCCAAGTGGCTACTTACTACATAGAGGACTGTAGTTTCAAATTCATTAGGACCTCCCACTAAATTATGAAACGATTCTTGTCCAGCAAATAGCAAAGCATTACCTCCCTGCACAGCCACGTGTGTATGTCAATGATATGGCAGATATGGCTAGCAAGGCAAGTCTCTCCTAACAATTTAATTATTTAGTAGGATTATTGTCGATATAGCAAACTTGTATTTAAATAAGCTGCACTACTTATATACTTTATAGGTAGTTTTTTAAAATAAGTGGATTAAAAAAATAATTAAATTCAGTTTTTCTCAACTTACCTCGACCAACTTGGTTACTCGTTCTCCGGCCTCACGAATCTCTGAATAACGCTTACAGCGCCTGTCTTCCCTCTCCTCGATTCCAAGAAGCGCTTCTCGCTTGCCTTCTTTGCGCTCGAATAGCGGCGCTCGAGCCCAGGACTTCATAATTTTGCGTATTTGGACAATGTTTTCCTGCGTCTGTACGACGCGTCTTTCAAGGTCACGAGTCATATCACGCGTCGACTGTATATAGTTCCAGGCCTCTGTCGAAAAAAAATAAGCCATATTATCCCTACACATTTTGGTCAATTCGTAAAAACAGCCAGCCTCCCGTTAACTATGTAAATTCTTCTATCGAAGATGAATTCATATCCAGCTATTGTCAAATTAGCTTGCATGTAAACCCTTGCATTGCAACAATTGCAACTAACGATCCAAGTTAACCCGGTAACAGTAATCCATAATTGCAATCTTTGGCTCTATTTTCTTAGGTATCGAACAGGTAGAATTTTATACCTGTGAGGGTTGTGTCCTTAAATTTCATATTGGAAAGAAAAAGCTACATTTTTGTTCTAGATGTACCAGGCATAGCCAGGCCTAAATTTATAAGTAATGGCGTATGGCCAGTTAAAATGGAGAAAGTGTCATTCACTATAAGGTCATAAAAAGTTTGAGACTTGTCAACATACGACCATTTGCATTTTGCAAATTACGAATAAGTCCATAAAAATTGGCCCTTCTTTAAACTTTATTTTAAAATATTTAATAAATGAAAATGGGGCTGTTGAATAAAAGCAAACGCCAAGTAAATTGTCCCTAGTGACAGGTCAAAAAGAACCATATGCTGCTATGATTAATAATGTCACAAAAAGGCTACAGAATATAAGTCGGAATATAATGTAACTATATCCCTCCATTAAGCACTCATTTTCCTCTTAATTTTTACTAAATGCTATCTATAATTTAAATTTAACACTTTTATTTTATGTAGCTCAGATCAGTCATATGTTAGTTATTCATATACAAATACAATTTACAAGCTATAACAACTCCTGATAATTTTGTAGAGGTTTGGTATTTAAAATTTCAATTATAAACGTTTATATAAGACAACAAATGTAAGTAAGCAGGAATGAAGGAAGTAGGAATGAATGCTTTAAGTTTATTTATGGAAGGGGCCTTTAATTTGGTCAAGCGAATACAATAATACTCGGCATGCGTATGCCAGTTTAGGGGATCTATGAGTGATTAGGATATCTCGAAAGAGACGCAAATATTTTATCGCCTCTCGTGAAGCAAACTCACCTTCATCACGCCAACTGAGCGTTGTCTCGGCTGTGTTGAGCTGTCTGTCAATCTCAGCCAACTGATCAACTATTAGGGCATCTTCAATCTCAATCAACTCGGTAGCAAGATAATTGTACCACTTTGCTATTTGGTCTAGAGTTATCCGAAATTGGCATAACTTGTCGTTTTGCTCGAAAAGCGCACTTGCAGCTGCCGGCACCTGCTCTTTGCCTCGGATTTGCAAATACTTGACCTCTCGGAGAACGGATGCCAGCTTTAAATGATACAAGCATTACAAAACTAAGAGATATCAACGAGTAGGAAAATGAACTACAAAAATATTAAATAAATGGGTCGTAGTAATAATAAGAAATAAAATATGTGCTAGATATTCCTACTAATTTAGGCTGATTTTTGTTTTTCTTTTAAATAATTCCCAAAATAAAGCTTATCTGCATAAAATATGTATTGATTTAAACTATTTTAGGAGAAATATAGAGTGAAAAACTTCCTAGCAATAACTTTCTTAGTGTAAAATTTCATTTAACACTTTTCAACAATGCAACCATATGGCCGCCTGGATCATCGGACGAACATGGGTGCTATTATAGACCATATTTTTATTATGCTTGTGACTCGAAAAAGGATTTATACTGCTAGATTCTAAGACTAAATTTTATCTTTTATAGATATTGCGCAGTGCACAAGATCTTCTTTAACTGGAAGGGGAAAGGCAAGATCTTTCGTTAGTTAAGTGTGTAAATATGCATGTTCTATAGGTATATGAGTTCTTGGTATATTAATAAGCCTTAAACACAAGTTATATTGGATTACAAATTTATGAGGCCGAGTGTCTAGCAGCACGAATGTTCTAAGCGGTATCTGTAAATTGACATGAAATGGGCGTTTTGTGATGCAATAAGTACAAGGCTAAGTTAACTTCCTTTCTATGCTCTAAGATAGACATGAATGAAAATGTCAGGAGTATGTCTACCTTGCAGTGGACACTAGGCTTCCACATGGCCATGCTTGTTTACGCCTCAAGTTCTGCTATTTTGCATGTAGCGGTAGAGAAGAGTGAGGAGCTATTACAATTTATGAGGGAAAATGTAGATCAATTTCCCAAATCTCAGAGGCAAGGATTTCTATGCCAGGATCGGCTCAAGAAAAGTTCTGCCTTCTGAAAACAAGGACCTGGGTAAGAAAGCAAGATAGAAGGAAGACTAGCCCATCCCAGCATTTGTAAGGATTAGGCGTGAGCGCTAAAGCAACTCCTTCATACATTTAATCTGAGTATTTTCTAATAATTCATATGAAGAAAAGAGGTGCATTTGAGTATAACGAGGAGGTTTTCTCCATATTGTTAAGATAGTTCAAGTTCAATCGAATTGAATAGGGTCACTCAGATTTAAGCATTCGGACCAAGTACCTTTTATGTCGGCTTAAACAAGTAAATTTGCGTCTCTCTTTTTACCATTCAAGTAAATTCTTTTCCTTTCAGCAGTTTGTTTTATAGAAAACTATCGATTATTACTTACGATTGAAATGAAGAACTTACGATGTTGAAAAACGATCAAAAAATCGTCAGAATAAAATATAGAATTTAGATAAGGTGTAACTTCAGCGCGATAATATTAACGTTGATCACTATCATTAACATAAAAAAAAGAAACGATAACAATTTGCTATGAAAACAAGTTTTTGCTGCTGACAAAAATGGTCCTGTCAATATCTAACCAAAGTCAGTAATATAATATTTTCTTGGAAGAGCAACATCGAAATACGGCCATAATGGCGTTAGCCCTAACTAGATTATTAACAGTCACAGTGTCAAAAGTAGCCTTACTTCAGGGTCAAAGTTGACTTCAAGTCGCTTGATTGCCCCATTTCGAATAAGAAGTGGCTTTGATATGTTGAAGGAGCATACGGTGTCTATTTGTTTCGCCCAGTCTTCAAATAGACCCTTTTCGTAGCTGTGAAAAGTGAGAGGGAGAAACCACAGAATACCTTAGCCTACATTTCTAAAATGGGTGTATGATAAGTTTAACTGAAC